CTCTTCCTTGGCTGGGGTACCGAGGGCAGGGCTGCTAATGTGACGTTCAGGATTGAGACGCTAGATGATCCTCCACAAGGAGTGAAAGCACCCCTGTGGGCCGGACGTGGCTCCATGCCATGCCGGGTTCTGAGTGGGCCACACTTGTGGGCAGCAGGGCCAACCCATCCTCCTGCTGTGCCCCTGGGTGTTGAACAGCGTGTGTGTCCCTCAGCGCTCCTGGAAGGGTTCCGAACCTCCCGAGCCCGTGGCAAGGACACATTGCTGTTTGCCTAGGACCCCCTTGTTCTCTGTGGTCTGACCACTTCCTTCACAGCCTTTGCAATGCTCTTCCACCAAAGTGCTTATCGTAAGAACACGAGACACTGCTGCCCCAGCCCAGCGGCTTCTCTGGCGGGGCCCTGGATGACTGCAGGTCTGGACATCCAGAGAACCTGTTTCCACCTCCTCCTCCCAGATTTGATTTGACTCCTCCCAAAGGACGTTCCTCTGACTGCACAGCCATATTACCAAGGACTTCCTGCTTGGGTGATGTCCTGGTGGGGACTGCACGAGGTTCTGGGGGCTGCCAAGTGTCTGGACCGACTGAGTGTCCATTCCAGCTTGTCTGGAGGGATGAGGTTTTTGTTTTTATTCCTGGCAGGAAGATGTAGTCTGGACTTAGAGTAATCCAGCCTTTAGCCATTACCGGTAGCTCAGTCGCTCCTTTCTTTGCCACGAGATCATGCACAGAAGCTGCAAACATCACAGCCACTGGGTACAGCAGAGGCCACCTGTCAGGTCCACCCTTACTTGTTTCTATGGAAACTTGAGAGTTGACTCAGACCAGGGATCTTCCCTAGGAGGGTCTGGGGACAGATCAGACCCACGGCAGGTACGGTGACCCAGCTGGTGGCCCGGGTTTCCACAGGACATTGCTGGCTGGGGGTGGCACTTGCTGACGTAGAAGAGCCCGCCTGCATTGGGTCACCGGTCAGGACACATGTGGAACCGATGCGCCCAGCTAGTCTGTAAGTGGACCACAGCGCCAGGGTGGCGTTTCTGTGCAGTGGCCTCCTGATAAATGATGGCCCAGGAACTCCTGTTCAGTGGACGGTGGAGCAAAACCACACTCGGCTCCTTGTCGTGTGAGTGGAATTTGGAGGGTGTTGCTTAAAAACATGCTCCACCTGTACCTGTGTCACTTTAAATTAAATCGAGCTGGTGTAAGAGACACGTAGCCTTGCTTTTTTCCTTTCCTTCTTGAGCGGAAACAGGAAGTGCCAGCTTGCCTGACAGTGGCTCAGTAATGGGCTAAAGTCCTACCCTTATGGAGCTTGTGTTCTAGGGGTGACTGAGGGGGCGAGTCACCAGGTGGTGGTCACTGCTACGAAGAATGAGCGTGAGGGCAGAGGTGGGAGGGGTGGGGAAGGCCTGCACCCAGAGCCGACGCTGGGACACACCTGAACACAGGGAGGGAGGGCTCCGATAACCCGGCAGAGCAAGGCCAAGGGCCAGTATGATGTGGTTCTAGGAGGGGGAGCTGAGCAGGGGCCTGAGGGAGCCTGGCCTTTATCCTGAGGGTGGGGTGGAGCAAAGGCACAGGCCCTGCCTTACAGGAGTGAGACTGATAGAAGCTGCACACACCTTTCCGGTAACCTGCATACCAAGTCCCCAGGGGGCTGCGGAAGAGAAAACGGTGCAGGAGTGCTGGGATGACAGAGCAGGCCCACCACGATAAGCTCATCGCTCAGCCCTAGGCTTGTTCGGGCAGCAGCTACAGCAGTCTGTCTCCCGACGTCTCCCAGGGAGTGACGTTCTCTGACACCAACAGGGTCAAAGGCAGGGAGGGAGGGGACGCTTACATCATCTCGCTTGAGGAGGAGACAGGACTACAGAATGCTGCCACTCGGTCCCATCTCAGGCCCCTCAGGACCCTTGTGAGAGTGTTCCCGCAGCTCCTGGGAGCTGCTGTCCTAGCGAAGTGCCCGTCAGTCCCCTGGAAGAGGACAAAGTCAAGGATTGCCTGCGTCTCGTCTCTAAGGCACACCTTCCCCTTTCTACCAGCAAAAGGGAAAACAACCACGGTCAAGAACAGGGGAGTCTGCTTTAAGAACCCTTTATTTATGTTACAGAAGAACGACGTCTCCAATACACGAGATTTACCGCGCATCAGCCGAAGGTCAGTCTCTGCAGTCATATATGCCACATCTCCTAAAGAAGCCTGAACAAGGTAACGAACGTCATCGAGCTGCACAATCTGCAGCACCAGCCTGGAAGACCACTTGTCTAAACCGGACAGTCATAGATGTGAATCTCCTGGTCATCGCCAACAGACACAATTTTTGAACCATTTCCATTGTATTTTACTCCCCAGACCTGCAAATTAAAAGAGCGAGTTCTGCCTTACTCTTTATATGAGATGAATGTCCTCGCATTGTTCTGAATCAGAAACGCTGAGGGGGGGGATGTTCTCGCACGTTGTAAGTCGGTGAGACTGGAGCCTGTTGTTGAACCAGGCACCGTCCACTGCTGCTGCTGTTCCCGTCCCCTCCCACGTTCCAGAAAGCCTCACTGCTAACAGGTACCAATAGAGACAGCCACAGCCCTTCCAGAGATTCAGAACGCGGCGGGGTAACGGGATGCCATGGAGATGAGCCCACAAGGGACCAATATTTGGGCTTCTAAGGAGAAAAATGCCCCAGCTGCCCTGAGGTCGTCCATCTCCCCGTGCCCACCCCTGCAGTCGGTCGTTCTCTGTTACCAGAGGCGCATGGAGCCTGCCCATCCCCAGGAGCTAGACAACACAGTATTGCAGACCGCTGATTTTACTTGCTGTACCCAAGGCAGAATGGATGTGGTTTCTCTCATCGGGAATAGTCTTCCAATTAACCGGAGGTGATTCTGGGTCAGCCTGTCAGCCCGACCTGAGCTAGGTGTCCTGGTGCCTTTAGTGTTCGACCATGGGACAACTTCTACTTCAAACACCCAAAAAAGCACTGCACCGACCCTCCCCACACAGCAGCACAGCCAGCCAAGACTTCGAGTTCAGCGTTTAAATCCAAGAGTAGAGTATCAAGATTCAACCTCCTGACTTTACTGGCAACAAGTTAAGATTAAACGTAAAAAAGGCCGAATATGTTAGTTAAAGTTGCATTCCAAAGAAAAGCAATCTCAGGGATCATGTAAAACCAATGAAAAGCCAGCTTCCTAGTGCCACCCCACCCTTCCAGCTTGCTACAGGGTGCTTGCAGAAGACAGAAAGTAAGAAATCTCAGTCCGGGGCTATGGCTACAACGCAGCCCCTTCTCCATCCTCTTGGGATTTTAGCCATGCATGCACACATGTCTGGCACGTTTTTCAAGCCAGCGGGTCCAGGACTTGAACTATGCAGTTAGCCATGTGGGATCCAGCTGTCTTAACCACCATGCCACATACCAGCTACCCCCACGGGCATTATTTTTTTCATTTGCTGTGCTGACTAGTGCCCGTTTTTCACTAAGGCCCTTGCTGCTCAGAGTGGTTGGGAGCAGTAGTCCTGGGCACTCGTGGAAAAGCGGAATCTCGGGCCCCATCACGGACCTACTGAATCAGAACCTGGGTTTTAACCACACCCCCAGGAGATCTGTGGGAAGGTACACTCTCCAACTCCTTTACTGTCATTCTCACTTTGGCACAGAGAGACCAAGACTGCTAGAGAACGGGTCTCCTTTGCTAAGACTGAGGTGGAAACAAAGGGGATCGACATCATGAACGTTAGACAACTTGTAAGAATCACCGCTTCTGCGATACTGGGGGGATCTGCCAAAAGTTCATGGAAAATATATATTATGAAAAATCTGCATGGATTTTCTTTCCCTTTTTTTTTACACCAAAATAAACCTCCTTAATTCCATTTTTCTTTTTTTTTTTAATTTAAATTATTTATTTTGACTAGATTTTAATTTGACTGAAGAGGGACAGAGAGAGAGAAAAAGTGAGAAAGGAAGCCGCCAAATCTAGGACTCAAACCACAGTCGGCCACGTGGGAGTCTAGAGCCCTTAACCACCACGCCAACTGCCAGCCCCGTTAATTTCATTTTTCTAAAAATTCTTTGAAGTCTCTTCGTATTTTAAAAATTGCATCACTTCTTTGGAGAGTTCTAAAAATGGTAAGTGATGGTCATGTTTAAACAACGAAAGCTCCTGGAAGGGGAAGGTCCTGAGCCAGCCCTGGACCCAGAAGAGGGCCCCGGCCTGCCACAGGCACCAGCTGCAGCGATTTCCAAAGACGGCACCCCAGGCTGTACCACCACGGGACGTCCTGTTCAGTGCACACCGCCATATACACGCTTTCTCGCCTGTGTCAGGACACACCTCCTGGGCCGCTAGGCCGACAGCGTGTCCTGGCCGCCACACCACGGACTGTGCCTGGGAACGGGCTACAGCCTTCTAAGCGCACAGAGTGGCTCAGACCCAGGGGTTGACCTGTCTCCACAATTCAGCCAAGTTAAGAAAAGAAAACTTTTGGTTCAACCGTCAGACAATTCCAGCAACCTAAATACAAAGAAATTCGAATGTTAATTATGCCGTACCTGATCCTGGTGATCAAAGAAGGTGTGAACACAAGTCCTCGTTCCAACATCCCAA